AGGAGGGTGTGTGTGTGTGTGTGTGTGTGTGGATGGACCTACGGTGCTACGTGCACATACATTAAACGGCCGCCTAATGTCGGCGTCATTAGCCGCGCCACCAACACCCCAACACCCCAGCACCCGCACCCGCACCCTCCTCCTGTGCTCCTGTCCTCCTTCCCTTTGCTTCCACCTTGCTTCGTTTTGCCACCCGCCGCGCCCGCCATTCTGCTGCTCCTTGCAGCAGTCCGTTCCCCCAGCAGTCGATTTTTGCACTGAGAGAAGTTGCACGGGGCTTAGGTGTGGGTGTGGCTATGGGTTCCTGGCAATTACATTATTCGCGGAGTTCCCCATAACCGTTTCAAACCCGTTTCACAGCCGTTTGATTTTTTTTAACCGATTCGAAACTGTTTTAAACACTTTTAATTCGAGTGGCCATTTTTAAAGTGAAATTTCGCTCAGTGAGCGGCCCCCAGTGGGCCCATCTACGGCGGGAGAGTTGACTTTCGCATTAGGGGCAGCCTCTGCCACTGCCTCTGCCACTGCCTCTGCCACTGCCACACCGTTTGGCACTGTATTTGTTCTGCTCTATTGGTAGTGTGCTCACGGCGCTGTGCTACCGTCAGCCTAGCCTGCCTGCCTTGAACTATGGAGGCTAGGAGTCGCCGCCGACTCGATCCAACGATCAACTTTGATGGCTTTTGATGGCCATAATGGCGGTAATGGATCGCCACTTATCCAGCTGCCGCCGTAATGCTGATGACATCTCGGCAGCCAGGCTGCTGCTGCTGCACTCCAGCGGTGTGCCACAGGAGAGCAGGCAGTAGCAGAGAAGGAGGAGCAGAATGAGGACACACACAGGGGCAGGCAGCATCTCTCTCTCTCTCTCTCTCTCTCTCTCTGTTGTTTGACTAATGATTTACAAAATATCCAGCTGTGCGGCGCTCTCTCTCTCTCTCTCTCTCTCTCCCTCTCTGCTGCGTCACAGGCGGCACAAAAGACTCGAAAGGAAGAGCCTGGAGCCCCTTTTGTAGCCGTTTTTTTTTTCATTTCTGTGCCGGGCCCCTTTTTATCTGTCGATTTGATGGCAATTACCCCGAAGAAGCAACAGCATCCTACAACGCACATTCAGCCACTGAACCATTCAAGCAGCAGGCACCGACATATCTAATCGGTATGAGGCATGGGGCATGAGCCATGAGACAACCGGATCTATGTCAACAGGCCCATCAGAGCTGGAATGTCTTCTCTACTACTCGTGTATCGGCCGTAGCCGGTCTTCAATTAGAGGCTGGCTGTGAGTGCAATCAAACGCGTGTATCGAGTCAGACGAGGCAGCGCACAGGACGTGAGGACGACAGGACGACGTGTCTATGGGCCGACATGAATGTCTAACCATGTCTAACGCATTATTTACACAATACGACCAAGTTAATTGGTGCCAATGGAAGGACCTCAATGAACCCTAATCAAAGCAGCACCCAATATCCACTCCTCCACCCCTGCACCCCCCCTCAACCACTCTACACCTACACCCTTTCACCCTTCCATCCAGCCAGCCATGCTCCCATCCAGCTGTCCTTCAGTTTGGCAGACGATGTTTGTGTTCTGTTTATAAATGGATACGTTACGAGGATAGTCGGTCGGTCGGTTGGTTGGTTGCTTGCTCGCTTGCCTCCCTCCCCCCCCATCCACGTCGAAAGTGTGCGCAATTAATTATTTGTCATTGGTCTTCTCCCCACCCCCAATACCCCCAATTCCACTCTCCGCACTCTTCGCACTCTTCGCACTCTCCTTCTTCAGCTCTCTCTTTCTCTCTGTTGTTGTTGGTATCTTGTCTCACTGTGAATGACGTGCAAACGTCTGGAGTGTCATCTGGTGAGTGTCGCGTCCCTCGTTTAAGGACTCTCTGCTCCGGATTTACGTTTGACTGGGAGTGGAGTGGCTTTAAGCGAAGATCATACTCAATGCTTTGAGCAGCGCAGTGTGCAGTGTGCAGTGTGTGGGGCAGTGTGGGGTGAGGGGCATTCTGCATTTTTGGTAGCAGTCCCAGAGACTCGAGGCGTGGACTTGCGGGCATTGCGGGAAGAGACCAAAGCGTAGGATTGCCACTCATTTTCCACTCAATATTGATGCTTAGATGCTGCCCCTGCCCCTGCCCCAGCCCCAGCCATGTGGCACCCGTTGTCCTTCCTCCGGAGAGAGCTTCGGGGCCACATTCACGTGAGAGCCCTGCCCTGCCCTGCCCTGCCCGTGTGCTAGTTTTTTGCTGCGTCTCTGCTTTTAATTTCATTGTTGATGGGGCGCTGAAAACGATTTCCGGCGTCGCTCTTTATTGGGCATTTTGGGCAGTTCAAAATTTATTTGTTTGTGTCTTCTGTTTCGTTTCCCTATTTATTGCATCGTGCCCTCGAGCCCTCCTTCTGAGGAGAACCCAATCCAGCAGCAATTAATTGATCGAAGCGTGAACGTATCCGTGAGCTACCGCTACCTGTAGCCAAGGGGCTCAAGTCCAGCAGATGCAGATGCTGAATGCTGAATGCAAGCGAATGAAACATGCTCCATGCATTATGCTGGTACGCTGCGGTACCCTCTTGGGGGCACCATGCGCCGTGCAAATGTGCCCCTAAACGAGCCTCAAGCAACTGTGGGTGGGGTGGGGTGGGGTGGGGTGGCCTTTGATTGTTAATTGGAAAACCAAGTCCAGCACCCCAATTAGAGAATTATGTCGACACACACACACAGCAAATAATTCCCGAGAAGCGGGTGGCCATCCGTGGGCATCCGTGGGTATCCGTATCCGCGCGAGTTGCTGCTTGTATCTTCTTGGTATTTACTTTTAGCCACGCTTTGGCTTTGATTTGCTAGAGCTGGCCTTAACCTTTCGCTGAAGTCGTGGAGCGGCGGGGGGTGTCGTGGGTGGAAGCCGTAATTTGATGCGCTTAACCTTTTTCGCATTGGTCGCCATGGAAATTGCTTAATTTTCTGCCTCAAGAAGAGCGAAGAAGGCGGCGTAAAAGTAAAAATAAATTAAGAATAACAAAAGAAAACGAGGGGACAGAGACAGGGACAGGGGCAGGGCGGCAGTGGCAGTGGCAGAAACATCACTTCATCAAAACAATAAACAAAATGCGTAATCTACGGGCGAGAGAGAGAGCCGAATAAATGAACTACCCAACGAGTACGGGAGAGTGCGGGATGGGATGGCCATACTCGTACCACATATATCTGTCCATCAGATTGTATCTTACTCTGTTTGTGTACCTCTTAATTCCTCTGTATCTGCATCTGCATCTGTATCTGTATCCGTATCTGTGTGCATTGGATATAAACTCAGTAAAATGGTAATTAAAATTGAATTTTCTATTCGACTTTTGGGGCTCTGGGAAGATCATTTCGCCGCCACCCTGCCTCCCCACGGGGCTAACCAATTGAGCAATCGGCTAATCATCTAATAAATTCGATTGGCTCTGGTGCCACAGCTAGATATCGATTCAGGTTAAAATATAGGGGATAACCGTGGGGGATGTTTGAATCAACCATAGAGTAAAGGATACAAAGAAACTGAAAGTCTGCAGAGATACCAGGAAGCTGGAGCTTTGTAATGGAAAATATGGGCAGCCTTTTATAGTTTCACATAGTGATAAAGCAAGGATTACAAATTACAGAATGCAAGGGCGCACACGAGTGAGCTAATGAATAGCGTTCGGTTAACGACATCTACGTATTCCGCCCGTGGACCCAAAAGTCTGTGCTGTGCAGATACAATGATCCTGCTGCTGTTGGCATTGTGACATGAAGATAATACCTCGGATTCAGGCTCTCTCCCGCAGATGCCACAGCGCCAGCGCCAGCAGCAGCAGCAGCAGCAGCAGCGCCCCCCTTTGTGTAATTAACGCACATTAATATTTCAGCATTGAGCAACCTTCGATGCTTTGTTTGCCTTTGACAGCACAGCCCCCCTACCCCTACCCCTACCCCTACCCCTACCCCTACCCCATCCAGCAGTGCCCCCTCCCATCTTTGGCCCCCTCGATTAGCAGCTAAAATGCTGCTAGATAAATATTTGCCATACAAATAATTCTCGTTGCTGGTTTTTGGGTTTTCGGCTTTTTGGTTTTTGCTTTTTTTGTGGTGCTTGAAATGTTCATAGACCTCAAATGCGCATTCTTTCAATTTAATTGTTTATAAACAAATAACAGACAGCTAATAAATAAATCAAATTAATTTCGATTCACCTCCTACCTCCTCCAAGAGAGGGAAAGGGAGAGGGAGGGAAACAACTGCCCCTGGGGAGGGATCAAACACTCGTCCCTGGGATCCGCACTCGTACGAGTATATCCGCCCATACCATTGTTGCACACGGGTGGGGCCTCCACGAGGGACGACGGGGTCGTGCATGGGAAACGGCATTTTCAATGATGCTGATGGCCTCGCATTCAATGTAAATAAATCAACAGAGCACACATCATAGTCATCATAGAAGTCTCTATAAAAAAAACCAATGGCCACCCAATGGATACCCTTAAAGCTACAGTCCGATCCGCTCCTATATTACGAGTATGTGCTGCATTGTGGGCAGATCTTTTGGCTGCGAGAAGGTATCCATTGGGGTCCCACAGCAAAGGAATTTTGCATGCAAAAATATATAATAATATTTGCTGCTGTGGGACCTGGGATCTAAGATCTGGGATTTATGCTCGTTCCGTTCTGTTCCAGTCAAATTAAATCAAATCAAATCAATTTGCAATTGGGAATAGTCTTCCCGTTTGCAAAGTGTATAATCGAGTAAATTGTATGCGAAAATAAATCATTATGTAATTACGATGCGCAATGCGGGGGCCACCCACACACGCACACACACGCACACACACACGCACGCACGCACACTCGTGCACACTGCCACACACAGATACACAAAGAAATTAACTAACTAAACAAAATGTCCGCACGTGTAACGGGGAAATGTGTTTACGATTCAGAGCTCGTCCCTTGCCGCACTGTGGCGTCCCATCTCCCTATGCCACTATGCCACTCAGCGGGTGCGTGGGCTGTTGCTGCTGCTGCTGCTGCTGCTGTTGCTGCTGCCTGGAATGCTGCTGCCATTCAAATGACAGACTATAAATAGCTCAAACAGCGGACTGCAGCCAAATACCCAGAAAAGAGATACACATACACACAGGAGAGCAGAAAAGTCAGTACAGAGAGACAGAGACAAAGCTACACCACAGCGGGACACTGTTGATGGGGAGCCAGTGGAGCCAGTGGAGCCAGTGGAGCCAGTGGAGCCAGGAATTAGATGCGCAATCAGCGAACAGCGACCAGGAGCCAGGAGTCAACATTAAAATGTCAAAGTTGCATCCTGCATCGATGGATGCCACTTGCCAGCAGACACTTGGCACTTGCACAACGGACAAGAAATGGCCCCTCCATCTAGAATTAAGAGTCATCTGTGGCTCGTTCTCCATTTCAAAGTGGAACTCAATTCAAAAGTTAGTTAATCGGAGTTCTAATCGGAAATCATTCGCAGAGGAAACTTAATTAATTTGCTGGCAAGAATTTTTGGATTGTTTTTGCACTTTAGGGGGGGGATTGGATTTGATTGGACATTGGAACATCTCTTCATCATTGCGTAGGCTGCGGGGTGGGCCGGGCTGCTTGGACTGCTTGGACATCTTCGAAACCTCTGGCATCTCTGTCTGCTCTGTCGCTGCCATTGATCCCGATGCCTTGCCCGGCCAATCCAATTTGAGTGCCGCGGCAGCACTTTTGATTATTGTCAAAGCGAAATCGAGCTCGGACTTGGCCTCCTGGACGGACTCACTGAATTCGGCCAACTGGGCCCATGTCTTGTTCAACTCCTTTTCCAGATTCTGCATCTGCTCCGGCACAAAGCTGTGCCCGCGCAGCTCTGGACTCTCGGCTCTCCCTGTGATCGGTGAACCCGTAGTCGGAGATTGGCCCTCCACTAGCTGATCCTCTGGCACTGGACAAATCGATTCTCCCATCGGGAGGGAGTCCTCCAAACAATCCAAACAATTGCCCGAATCACTCATTGTGCAGCTGAATTTCTGGGATAAGCAAATACAAATTTTGGCTACTAAATATCTGTGTTTTGTGTTCGGTTTGGGTTCCTGGTGTAGACTGCCTGAACTGGGGATTTCGGCACGAAAGTGAGTCTGTCGGGCTACTGTGTTGACTGGCCTAGAAAATACAAAACTAGAGCTGGCCGTTGGGATGGGGATCTGCGCGTAATTGCTCAATTGTCAGCGATCCCGGGGAGTGCGCTAATTGCTGGGAGGTAGAGCCAGAAACGGGTCGAGGCCAACACAGGAGGCGGTGCTGCAGCTCGAGCTGGGGCTGGGGCTGGGGCTGAAACCAATGATTTTTTGATTAAATGACAGCAACTAAGCTGATTACGTATACGTAATGCAATCCATCCTCCACCTGCTACCATCCTCCATTCCATTCCATTCCATTCCATTCCTTACAGACGCACACGAGCTCGCTCTCGGATGCACTCAACGACACGGCTAATCAAAGTGGCTTGGTGTGTGTGTGTGTGTGTGTGTGGCCACACGGGGACTCTGGAAGGGTGGCAGGTGATGGCAGGCAGAACGGGTGGCAGGTTCCACACCACACACAGTTTGGCTTCTCGATTGAAAAATTGTTCGGGTTGGATGTCGTAATGGCGTCGTTGATGTTTTCCTGTATTCATCCATTCAGGTGAAGGCTGACGCTGACGCTGACCATCCCGTCCCGTCCCGTCCCGTCCATCTGTCTCCTTGCCTACAAGGAATGTGCATTTGTCTGTCCCTCTCCCTCTCTCTCTGTCCCTACTATCTGTCACTCTGTTAATTAGTGCAATCGGAGAAGCAGGTCGTAAATGCTGTGCACTTTATAGATTGCTCTAATTTATGATATTGACACATTACCGATTGGATTGGATGGGATTAGATTGGATTGCATTGGGCAGCTTTTCGTGGCAGGAGTCGTGTGTTCGTTCGTGTTCGTGTTCATCATTTCCATTGCAAATTTCGAGGGAAATGGAAAAGGGCGAACATTGTGCAATGCATTCCACTTCCACCTACGATCCACACCCACAGAATATTTTTTGCTGTTACTTTTTTCGCATTCGTAATCATTTTAAGCTGGTAATATATGAATTTGAATATCATCCACATGCGATCCACATGTAATCCACACACAAATTATGTTTTACTGTTGGTTTGTTGCAACAAGAATCATGTGTAGTTTGAAAAATGTAAATTTGTGTATCATCCACATGGCATCCACATGCAATCCACAAAATAAATAACACAGATAATTCCCCACCACAGAGAAACATTTCTTTTCCAATATTTGACGCTAATTGGCAATTTTGCTTTGCCTCCAGAAACCCTTCCACAGCCGCATTGAACGTATTTTCTTGAGGTTTTTTCCGTAAGCTTCCTAATTGGATACCTTTCCCTCGCCCGCACCCCCCACCGCCCGCCCCGCACCAAGCGAAGGGCTCCTCTAACAATGTCCCAACAATGCGCTCTATTGACGTGAAACTGCATTACGAATCCCGTTCAAGGGCCCCAGGACCAAGCAGCCAAAGAGATGGAGAAGAGGGAGACGGAGACAGCACAGAGATGACACAGAGAAAGGAGAACTAATGACGTTGGCAGTAAAGCTTACAAATTGAGTAAACAGAAATATTTTATTTGCATATTCACAAATACATAGTTAGTGGCAGAGAGGGCAGTGGCTGACAGTGGGTGACAGTGGGAGGGGTGGGAATTCCCTAGGGTATTCTTAACATTCACTTGATGGCATTACCCCTCGCATGGGTTATCCACTTAAAATTGGAGGACAGGACGATGCAATGCGATGCGATGCGATGGAGTGGCTGGCCCCGTATGAGCTAAAGCCAAGAAGAGCTCACTGAATGAATGAGGTGAATGCTGAATGGGGAATGGAAAATGAAATGAAAATGAAAATGCAAGGGTCTGTCTGTCTTTTTAGTGTTCCCTGGTCCCAGTGTGTGCCCTTGTGTGTCCGTTGCCTCCGTCTCTGTTTCTGCAATTAATACGCTTAAAAAGTATTAAAATGAAATTATGCTCACGGCTTACAGCTTAAGCTGCAGCCCGGGGAACAAAAGAATGCAGAATCTGTTGAGTGGCGCCCAAAGGCCACCAAAGAAATGCAACGCAAAAAGTAAAAGTGAAAGTAGCAAAAACAGCGAACGGAAAAAAAAAAAACAAACTTGTTTTGAATGCATGCAGTAAGAAGTAAGCAGTAAGCAGTCAGTGGCAGTAGACTGGCAGCAAAATGGAGCAATCGTGCACGGAATTACAACTTTTCGATGGAAACTTTGTTTGATGGAAAAAGAAACTTGGCTGTTGGTGCCTCCCTCTCTCTCTCTCTCTCTGCTCTCTCCTCCTGATGCTTGATGCTTTTGGCATTTCCATCAGTGTCTGTCCTTGTGTCTGTGTCTCTGGTGGGGGGGTGGGGCCTGAAGCTGAAATGAGATGAACTCTTCCTGCCAGCACAAGAGAGCGAAAAGTTTTTGGGCTTCTGTCTCTGACAATTGCCCTGCCACTTGGCTGCTCCAATTTGTAACTTGATCGCTGCCTCATTGTTCTAATGATATTCTCTATTGTATACTCGTATTGAGTTGTTCCCTGGTGCTGACTCTGGTTCTGTCTCTAACTCTGGCTCTGCCTGACTCTGGTTTAGTTTTCATTTGATTCGGATACTAAAAACTTTTTAGGGACCACACAACACAGAATTTTCCTTTAGTTTTTACGACTTCTATTACGACCGAGTGCTTACGATGGGTGGGAGTGGGGTTGGGGGTGGGGTAACTGGGACTTGACAAAACTCTTTCTATATCTGTACGTTTTGCCTGGCTTGGGTTTTTTTTTGGTTAATTTGTGAAAATAACACTACGAGGATCCCACACACACAGCATTCGGAATTAGTTGTAGGCAATATAATGCTATATAAAATATTCACAGCATCCACATGGCAGCCACACACACACACACACACAATATGTTTCTCCCATAGCATCCGCCTGTTGTATGCCAAGTCCATGTACTTGCACCAGTCGAACTACATACCTATGTACATAGGTACGTGCATATATTTCTAAGCAAGGCAAGGGGGAATTGTGACGGGGCAGGTAAGAAAGCAAATCAATTCAATTAAAAGCTCATTAAATACAAATTGTCCGAGGGAGCAATCGATAAAGCGCCTATTGGAACCACTTAAATGGGCTCACAGGCCTCTGAATTCCCATGTCCTTCTACGAAAACCCTTCTGTGCATACCGCTGTGCATGTGCCATGTGTCCCATCAACCCAAAATTATCGAGAAATTAGTAGGTATAAATGCTGCTCTGATGGCTCCTACTCTACCTCCATTCCAAGAAGCCACCAAAGGACTGCCAGGATTCCGCCACGGGGCTGGGCTTCCACTTAAGTCCTCTCTTCGCTGTGTGCTGTGTGTGGTTTTTCCCCCCACCCCTTGGACAAATTAAAGCGCGAAAATATTGTCTATCCCTTTGAATATTTGCATACCCTTCTGGAGACCAACGAGCGAAAGGATTGCCAAGAAAAGTATTTATGGACTGAGTGGGGCATTGAGTATAAAGAATTTCGATACTGTTTGGGTGTAAATTGAATGTGCTGCAAGTTTTTGCATGGATTCTCCTATGTGTTCCACTTAATGGTTGCTGGTGGGACTTATTCCCCACTCCGCACTCCCCACTGAACTATGTTCGATATAAATTTGCCAGTTAGGGAATTTCAAAGTTCGTTGAGTGCTGGATTCGTGTGGATCTGGATCCCATCCATCTCTCTCCTTTTGTCGAGGAGTATTAAACTTTGACGATGGTTTTTCCATCGTCTCTGTCTTGCCATCAACGTCTTTCTGTTTTCTCCGTTCCCTCCGCTTTCTCCCACACTTTCACTTTCACTTTCACTGTCATATATTTAATATGCACAATTTCTCCCAAGGACAATAGCAACAACAACAAAAACAATAACAAAGGTGGGTGTGGGTGTGGGTGTGGGTGAGGGTGGGGTGTGGCGTTCCAGTTTTCAGCAATGCGTCCCGCCCCCTTGATGATGTATTGTTTTGATTTGGGGATTCGAAGTTTTTTTGTTCTAAAAATAAACCACCGCCCACCGCCCTGTGCCCTGTGCCCGTCGCCTACGTGCCACATTGTGATGTTGGGGGCAGGGCACTTCTACTGCCTCCCTGCCTGCCTGCCTGCCAGCCAGCGGGGCCCCAAAGCCCCAGGAGAGGCACGGCACGGACACACGGGGCCAGAGTTCCGTTCAGTTCGCTCCCAACGATCTGCTGTCGAATGTTGTTTAGTTCCATTTTTTTTCCTTCCATCCACAGGACCTTTCGCTCCTTTGTTTTATTTCTTTCTTTTATTTTTACCTTCGTCGTCTTTCTTTGGTTTTCCTTTGGTTTCGTTTAACTTCTTTTGACAGTTGCTGACAGTTTGTTTGAAGGATGCCGCAAGTCCCACACCCACACCTACGCCCACGCCCACGCCCATCATTCAGTTTTGATTTGGCTGCGTCCCACCTTAAGGCCTGACGCCCGTGCCACTGCCACTGCCCCTGCCCGACCGTATGTTCTATGTGCAGGAGGAGGAATCTCTTCCTTTTCCATGCTCCATCTCCATGCGTTTCGTCCGGCTGTCCCTTTGTTGACGGATGCTGCGTGGTGCGTGCCTAAGCGAGTTTCTTGCTCCTGTGAGAGGGGACGCGGGACTTTGCATATTCCCACGCTGCGCAAGTATCCCCCCTTCCCGCTCCTACCACACTCTTCTCTTGTATCTGACGAGGTCCGACCTGTATCCATCACCTACAAATGTGTCTGCAAATGTATCTGTAGCTGTATCCTCCTCCCTCCCCCTAAAGAGGGGCAAACATCGAACCGATTGAAACGCTTTTCGGTGATATTCACGTGTGGTTCCTTCTTGTGCCCGGGGGGTTCTTGTG